ATTTTATTTTATTTTGTGAAAGTCACATGCCATTAACTAATAAACCAACATAACAGGTCACTTCGAGCTCTGTAAGACTGGTCAGTTCTACAACAAGAGAGCTCCGAAATGAATGGCATGCACCATCAGGCTATTCAGTAAATGTAGCTACAGCAAATGCTACCCAGGTTTGATTTCAATACTTTATAAAAATGTTATCTTCTAAAATTATAGGCGATATTTGCTTGGTGGTTTTCTAATTACAATTGGTTCCCTCAATCAAAAGGCCTAGTTTCGGCCTCGCACTTTTCAACTTTGACTTGGTGCTCTGCATTCCATCTCTTACATTGCAGTTCGCTCAGAACCCTTTCTCTTAGTCACACATTGAGAGAGGTTTTTGCCTCCTTTTGTGCTCTATCTTCTGTTCTCACCTAACCATGACCTCTCAGTCATTCTAAACTATTTTTTGTCACGACCTCTACTTTCTGTCTTTTTCACCTAAACCTCATGGGTAAGATGTCAATCTTGACAACATTGCCTACTCCAAATAATTCGTTTACTTGAAGAATCATGTTCTTTGATTCTCTATGAACTGTTTTTTTGGTGTTTAGTGAAGCTCTAATATTAAATTTTCAACATGAACAGGAACATGTTTTATACTGAAAATAAGTTACAATGCATATTTTACTTTTTTATTTCCTTAAAAGTTGACAGGATTTTTCATCACTGAAAAACTCCTCTCCAAAGGTTAGAAAATTCCAGATTTTGATACACTTGGTCATTAACTTATTTGTGCAAAATTCCTTAGCATTTGTTTTATATCTTTGACTGTTCAGCCAAACATAATTTTGGTTAGTTAGTATGGAAATACTATAATTAATTGTCCAGAAGTATCAATATTTTTGCTGCTGGCAAAATACATTTTGTGCTTGGCCGCAACTTCAAAACTCGGCCTTTGATATTATTTCTGGATCCCCACGAGTAGTTTTGGTATTGATATCCAATCAAGCTCTACTGATATCATTACTTTTGCACTATATGCAGTTCCATTGCTGGATTTTACTATTACAATACACGTTGAGTTTGCTGTCAAATTGGTAATTATTGTTACATCTGGATGCAGGTTTTGTTGGCCACAGGAGGAGGGCATTTAGTTTACCTTGAAATTGGAGATGGCATATTACAGGAAGTAAAGCATGCACAACTTGAGTATGAGATTTCATGCCTGGACATAAATCCCATTGGTGAAAATCCCAATCACAGTCATCTAGCAGCAGTTGGAATGTGGACAGACATAAGTGTTAGAGTTTTTTCTCTTCCTGATCTAAATCTCATCACAAAGGAACAATTAGGTGGGGAGATCATACCTCGATCTGTTCTTCTTTGTGCCTTTGAAGGGGTAGGCTTTCCTTGAGTTATCTTAATTTATTTTTTGTGTTTTTATTTTATTTTGATTCTACTTTTTTTTATTGCTTGATCATGATTTGGAATGCGCATGTCTTGTAAGTTCAATTTTTGGAGTACAGATTTCGGATTTTTACATGTGCAAGCAGTTGTGCGGGATATATGCTAGATCAGCAACATTAATATCATTTTTACTGTTATCTGCTCATGTTAACTAATTTTGTAATGTTGGTCAAGGATTAAATTAAGGCGTTTCTAGACTTCCAATGTTACAAGTTTAATGGTAGTTTCCTTGTTAAAAGTATCCTATTGATTTGTTGCCTTTTCATTTTATTCTCCAGATATCTTACTTGCTATGTGCCCTTGGTGATGGCCATCTCCTAAACTTTATGTTGAACACAAGTACTGGTGAGTTAACAGATAGGAAAAAGGTATCCCTTGGAACACAGCCTATTACACTACGGACGTTCTCTTCCAAGAATGCTACCCACGTATTTGCTGCATCTGATAGACCAACTGTGATTTATAGCAGTAACAAAAAATTACTTTATAGTAATGTGAATCTGAAGGAAGTGAGTCACATGTGTCCCTTCAATTCTGCTGCTTTTCCAGACAGGTATCTTGCTTGGTCTTTGCTGGTTTGACTAACTTTAATTATTGATATATCCCCTTGTGCTGCTTTTGGATCTTGTACATTTTGATTCTAAGTCCTTCACTAGTGATGATCCACTATTTACTTCTAAAACAGTTTGGCAATTGCAAAAGAAGGTGAGCTTACTATTGGAACCATTGATGACATACAAAAACTTCATATTCGCTCTATTCCGCTGGGGGAGCATGCACGACGTATCTGCCACCAGGAGCAATCTAGGACTTTCGCTATTTGTAGTTTGAAATACAACCCAACAAGTGGTGAAGACTCTGAAATGCACTTTGTTCGCTTGCTGGATGACCAAACATTTGAGTTCATATCAACTTATTCTCTTGACACTTATGAGTATGGTTGCTTTATAATTAGCTGCTCCTTCTCAGATGATAATAATGTGTATTACTGTGTTGGAACTGCATATGTATTGCCAGAGGAAAATGAACCAACCAAAGTAAGTCAAGAAATTTGTATTTTTCAGCATTTTTCTTGGTCAAAGCTTCTGATATCCTGCTTCCTTTGCCCATTTTAATACATGTAGGGAAGAATTCTTGTTTTTACTGTTGAAGATGGAAAGCTACAGCTAATTGCCGAAAAGGAGACAAAAGGAGCTGTTTATTGCTTGAATGCATTTAATGGTAAATTGCTTGCTGCTATTAATCAAAAAATTCAGCTGTACAAGTGGGTACTCCGGGATGATGGTACCCATGAATTGCAGTCTGAATGTGGACATCATGGACACATCCTAGCACTTTATGTGCAAACTAGAGGAGATTTTATTGTAGTTGGTGATCTGATGAAGTCAATTTCCTTGTTAATCTACAAGGTACGCTTCTGAGTTTTCTTAATGTTGAACTTTAGTCTTCAATGCGAACCTTTCCATCATTGTGCTTTCCTTTTTCTCCTTTCGTAGTTAGAAGTTTCTGGCTGGTTTTGTTGAATTTTTAACTATTGTGCTGCTTTTTGTTTTGGATGAATAACTGATTTCTGTATACATAGTGAGCATACCGTGTTCTTTTGGAATGATAAATTGTTGTTTCTGTTAGCATGAAGAAGGTGCTATTGAGGAAAGGGCTCGTGACTACAATGCAAATTGGATGTCAGCCGTTGAAATTCTTGATGATGACATATACCTAGGTGCAGAAAATAGTTTTAATCTGTTCACTGTTCGGAAAAATAGTGAAGGTGCCACTGATGAAGAGCGAGGTCGTCTTGAAGTGGTTGGTGAGTATCACCTTGGGGAATTTATCAATCGGTTCCGGCACGGCTCCCTTGTTATGCGCTTGCCAGATTCTGATGTGGGCCAGATTCCAACTGTAATCTTTGGCACCATTAATGGTGTTATTGGGGTAATTGCCTCTCTTCCTCATGATCAGTATGTTTTCTTGGAGAAGCTTCAGTCGAACTTGAGGAAGGTAATTAAAGGCGTTGGAGGGCTCAGCCATGAGCAATGGAGGTCATTTAACAATGAGAAGAAAACGGTTGAAGCCAGAAACTTTTTAGATGGGGATTTGATTGAATCATTTCTTGATCTCAACCGCAGTAAGATGGATGAGATTTCCAAGGCAATGGATGTTTCAGTAGAGGAGTTATGCAAGAGAGTTGAAGAGTTGACAAGATTGCACTGAGTTTATACTAGCTTGTAGCTTCGTTGTTTGTTTATTTTTCTTTTGTCGTCGTTTAACATTGTTCGTCCCTATTTTTTCTTTGAGGGGGTCGGTGGGGTTAAAATAACTTAAAATGTTGTTCTTTTCCCCCGGCTTTTGCCTTCGACTTTGCTGAGACTAGGGGGAATGGTTTGCGTTTTACAATACATGATTCACAAATGGTGTATAATATGCATGTCGTGTTCCAAGGCATAATATTGCTTTCCATTCGACACTTTTTTGGACACGATCATTGTTGTATTATTCGCTTCCAAGTTGTCATACGCTTCACTTGTCATGTTAACAGGTGAGTGGTCGGATCTAACGTCCAATATATATCTAAAGCTTCACTTGTTTAATTTTTTTTTTGTTGAATATTAAAAATGTCATTAGAAAGATTTTCGAGGCATAAATCTGGCCATTGAAAATTTGTATTTTTTTTTAATCATTGGAGGACTTTTGATTTCATTGAGCAGTAGCTTTTATTTAGTGCATATATACCATTTGTGTTAAATTGATATAATATTATAAAATTGGTATGAAAATCCGTTGACGGCCAAAATAAGTTTTAAATGAAAAAAGAGCAATGTTACGAAAATTAGCTGAAATGGTATTTGAATATATATATTTTAATGTTTTGAATATTGCAAAATATTCAAAATAAAATAACACGAATACATGATTGATTTAAGAATTAAGAGGATACAAGGATTAAAAGGGGCTTTATAGCTTTTTGATGAGCCGAAGGGGCTATAGCCCAAACAACGATCAGGAACTGGTGCTCATACACAACACGGAAGCATCAGCCGTGAGAAACAAGGAAATAAAACTTTGAAGAAACTCAAATTCTAAGGCTACCGGGATCTGATAAACCTTTCTTTGCAAGAGCATCCGCAACAGAATTGCATTCTCGGCAAATTTAAGGATGAAATGTGCTTTGGTTTTCGAGAAAATAACAAGGTTCAACAATTTTCTATACGAATCGACAAAGTGTATTTAAAATGTATATAGGTCCATGTATATATCTAGCTTAAATATAATCAGATCTTAAATCACTAAACCTCATTACTTTCAAGGATTAATTTGTTTTTCAAGGGAAAGAAATAGAGATTAAGACGTCCATTAGCTTATCTGTCACTGAGAGAATATGAAGTGAGAAATCAATGCAGCTCTGCTCTAATTACAGGGATAAAAAGTGGTTTTATTCCATTTTATTCGCAATTTCGCATTTGGTCTTAATGGATGGAGGCAAGACACCTCGCCTTTGTGGTTTAGTAAGACCTTATTGTTTGTAACTCACAACAGAAATAGGTCCTGGACAATCATTACTCATGGCGAAAAACTGTTTCACTGCAGCCAGAGGTCTTTGAAACATAGAGCCCTGCTGTATATATATACTAATATAACAGAAAAAATATAGTCGTTTTTATCAAAACCACCTCCCATAAACCCCTGAAACAAACATCTCAACTTGCCAAAGAAAGCTCTTGAACTATAGTATCTACTCACTTTTTAAATTAGATTTTCATCTGTAGCTGTACCTGTATCTATCTTTGCCATGCCATTAATCTTCTAACAAGATTAAGCTGTAACCCTTATTCCAGAATATTACATCTAATCAGACAATGCTCTCCCTTGCTAAGATCATAGCATTGCTGCTATATTTGGTTATTGACAGATCTTCACAAGTGTCAGAAGTGGATAACAGAAGTAATATGCAACATCCCATATAGGTCAGATTTCAAGATTCTCACTAAGCCAAAGATAAATACCACTTTTACATATATCAGCAAGGGTTTTGTAGAGGGCCATCGGAATCATATTCAGGAAACATGGAACCTGATTCATCCTTAGGACTAAGCTGGTTAGTTTTTTCAGCAATGCAAACCTCCTTTCTCAGACCCTCCACCAAATTAGTATCTTTGCATTTTTTGTATACACCCCTACTCCTATCCAATAGCCCTTTCTTGAGTAGGCTTGCGAATTCCTCTCTAATTTGTACAAGGGGGTGCTTCTGCACAGGTTCCAGGCCATTATAGGCCTCCCTAAGAACAACTGTCTGGGTATCACTTTTCTTGGAAATATAAAAAATACCAGGATGACGCTCAAACGCTTTTGTAAACTTCTGAGGTAGGGCCAAGGGTGTACGCAAATTGCTAACATTCTTGCGCTCAGTTTGCTTGTGAAGGGTAAGGTGAAGGAGCTCATGGAAGACTCCAACTATCCTTTTCTCAAATACATCAGTACGAGGATCCAAATGAGAGGCATTGATGTATGGTGAAGTATAGGGGAGTTTCTGCCACTCTTTCAACCACTCCATGCATTTTCTTTTCAGACCAAAACCCCGGGTGAAACTAATGGGAAATGCTAATGATCCAATTTTTATGTCATCTGCCTTTTGTTGTAGAAAAGCATTCTTCTGTAACTCTGAGATAGCAAGCTTGTCATCCCAAAATAACAATTTCAAGCCAACACGATCATCAGGGAGGTGAACATATGAGAACCTTTCAGGGTGATTCCGAATAAAAGAATGCTGGTAATCATAAGGTAAACCCAAGTCCCATTTTAACTGGTCAATGGTTTGTAGTGGAAGGACCCCATCACTTGTGAGCATAAGCAATTTACACAGCCTATCCCTGAGTTCCAACTGACTTTGCCGAAGGATGTTGATTTCCTCACGATGGAGCTCCAAGGCTTCAGGACTCAAACTGAAACATGGGACAGGAGAGCCTCCAGTATCACGAAAATATGACTCGATAAATATATTGGGATATCTTCTGATAAAGGTGGAGAGTTTGAGGTCACCGGGAAGACCAAGCTGTCCACGATGGCGAGAAAGATGGTATATTGGAAGGCAGCATTCAGAAGAAGAATAAATTATTGAAACAAGGATCCCAGCTGCTTTAAGATCCCTCTGACCAGCAACTACAGCATCCAATGTCCTATCTTTCACCCATTTCAACTTTACGTTCACCAGACTAAACTTCTGCTGGTAAATGTATCCTTGTTGAATACTGCGAACAAAGCCAAAATTTCTTGCAATACCAAATAACCATTGAAACATAATATAAACTGATAATGGATAGCATAACTTGGACTGCAAGATGCCCTTCGCACTTGTAGTTATCTCACATATTGCTTCAAGAAATGCAACTGCATATGTAAAAATTGGATTCAAGAAAATTTAATCAATATCCTAGGACGATCAAAAATAAAGCAAAATTATAACAACAAAAATATAATCAAATGTTTGAGCTAATTATCATGGAAAGCATGACCTTTCCAAAAGCTAATATATTTCTTTACATCACAATTAATCTTATAGATCTGTCAGATGAGCCAGCCCTAGCTCATGTGGGCTAGGGCCAAAAGGCCAACAATAGTGGACTCTGTAAGTTTTCTACACACATAAAACACAAAATTGGATTATCAAAAGTCAGAAGTTTAGGAACAAAAACTCATGATTCAGTTTGAACACATGATAAATCTAAGATGGATAATCAGTCAACCTTTGAAAACCAAACCAATGGTACAACAGCATGTACAAATGACTCGAGTCAATAATATTACAAATGGCTTCTTTTAATATTTAAGGCTCACTGAAAATTAAAGGACCTTTTTATGTGGGGAAGAGGGCACAAGGCAAAACATGATTCTGAATTAATGAAAGATAGAAAGGATTCAAATTTAACAAATTAAAACATAATCAACGCTTACACTGAATAGAAATTGATGCCTGAAATTAATTAAACCAAGAGGTAAGAGTTGTACCAAATTTCTCTAGGACTCTCTAAATTTGTAACCAAAGTGATGTATATGCTAACTCTAAATTAAGTTACCCATATTTACACATAGTTGAGCAATAAATTTGTTACAATAAACTCTATTTCATACTGATCTGTTTGATTACTATCTAATCCCAACTGCATAATAAATTTTCTATTTCACAGAATGATGCCAGAGAAAGCTTCTCTTACTATACTAGTGTTAATAAATTCATTACCAATAGTCTAAGTTGACTAGCTGTGCAATAAACCCAGTAATCTACCAATCACCTATGCAGTTAAAACAGAATATTTTTTTCTTGCACCATAGAAAGAGAAGGACTTAGGTCCAATAAACCAACGTCTTTATTTTAAAAAAGTCATTGGACATTTTATTCCACCTCACATGGTGACCAGAAATGCAATGACCTAAGAACAGAAAACTAAAAAATAAAAACCAACAGACGCACAGACACAGCAGATATACCTTATCGCATCCATCATATTAATGATCCTACATATACTTTATTTGACATCCTTAACTTAAAAGTGGGATTCTATGAATCTTCATAAAACTAAAGTCACACACAATTAAGAAAAATAGCACTTGGTGGTGAAGATTTTGACGTAAGAAACAAATAAGGATTAAGAAACAGAGAACTCACCATGATCGAGTGTTGAACCCGTTTGTGAGGAAAGCAGGGAAGAGGTTAGGTTAAGGCAAAGCAATAAAATGAGTGTCAAAAAGAAAAGACTTCAATGGGCTGGGCTGGGCTTGGGTCATAACCCAAAATAAGACAGATTTTTATTGAATGTAGCATTACTCAAAAGAAAATGCCAACCACTATTCCAAATTCAAAAGGATAAATTAAGTTAAATATCCATTTAGTACTTATAATAACTGCGTAAAATTTTCTTTTTAAGTCATTATAAATAAAAATATTTCTTCGGTCTCGATGTATTATTTTTATTTCTTTTTTAATCTTTATCATCTATTTATACAAGGATTAAAAAATAAAACTCAAAATTATAGAAATTTGAAAGAAATAAAAATAATATAAAAAATATATATGTGAAATAATTGATGGAGACAAATTGTTTAAACAATGTCGTTTAAATTTTTCTGTTAATTTTTATTGGTTTCTAGTGTAACGACCCGACAGGTCCTACACGCACCACTGAACACCGGAAACATTAGGCAGAAAGAACAAGTATATAAATATAGGTTCTAGAATATAATTATATACAAAGTCCTACTCCGACTAGGGTTACAAGATACAACGCCAACCGCTACACCTAGTAGCCACTACAACAAAACACCAATCAAACATAGCCAGCTCCGCCTACCAGCTGCCTACTCATCACGAACCAAACACCTATTCCTGTTCTGCTCTCGTACATAGTACGATCATAGCAGTCCAACCACAAGGAAACAGAAAAGGGTAAGCTAGTATAGAAAGAAACAACGTATAACAAAATTCAAGTAATTAGAACAACTTCAACCGTCAACACAACAACATTCTACTATCCATTCAATTTGTGCAACCAACCGGCAATTAGATATAAATGCGTCGTCACGCATATCACCTCGGAGATTCTCCTACAACAACTCTGCCGTGAAGGCCTACAACAACTCAGCCATTACGGCCTACAACAACTCAGCCATTATGGCCTACAACAATTCATATCAATATTCAACACAACTCAACTTTTTCAACTCAATATATCATCTTGCAACTCAACACAATTGTACAACTCAACATCAACTTGCAACACAACACAACTTTACAACTCATCAACATACAACACAACTTAACAACATACACTCAACTTATCAACATACAACTCAACCTATCAACATACAACTCAACTTATCGACATACAACTCAACTTATCAACATACAACTCAACTTATAAACATACAACTCAACTTATCAACATAGGACAACATAATTCAATACATAAAAGGAAATGTCTCATCCCCGCGCCCGGCGCCCTCGAAGTTGCGCCCAGCGCAGTACAACCAGAGAGCCCCAGGGGGCTAGCGCGCCCAGCGCAAGCAGGCTCACGCTCAGCGGGACTCAGCCAAAGAGCACAAGGCTCTCCCGCGCTTGGCACGATACTAACTGCGCCCAGCGCAGGCCAGACAGAGACTCCAAGGAGTCTCACGCGCCCAGCGCACCTAACCCAGCGCTCAGCGCGGGAAAGGCAGAGACCACCCCTTGGTCTCGTGCCCAGCGCAATTTGAAATTGCGTCCAGCGCCCACGAGGCAGAGACTCCCAAAGAGTCTCACGCCCAGCGCGACAAGGGCCGCGCTTAGCGCAGCCTCTAGAGCCTAACAGCAAGTTACAACGGTATCGCGCTTAGCGCAGTCCAAGTCGCGCCCAGCGAGGGCCAACCAGAGACCCACATTCTCAAGCGCGCCCAGCGCACTCATCAAGGCGCTCAGGGAGCTCGACTAAATGAGGTCCCCTGGCGGTCACGCGCTCAGCGGGATGAACAGCGCTCAGCGCGAAGCTCATCTGCCACCCTACCCAGTTCGAAAATTTTCCCAAACACCTGTAAAAATCACTTTCAAGTACATGCAATCCAGCCAAAGTATCACATTTCCATCCAAGAGTTCGAAAACGACATTTTTTCATACATGCATCCACAAATCAAATAAAAACCAAGAATTTTCTCAAAACCCCCATACTAACGGTCCAGCAGGATAAGTGCCGAGTAGCTCCCTTGTAGGCAAGGGAAACCGAGTCTAACGGGTCAAGTCGGACTATGACCGACTAGGTCTATACTGGACCCCCAGTCGGGTTAATGCCGAGAAGGTGGGTTCCCACGCCCGGCGCACTCATGGTTACGCCCAGCGCGGTACAACCAGAGAGCACCAGGGGGCCAGCACGCCCAGCGCAAGCATGCTCGCGCTCAGCAGGACTCAGCCAGAGAGCACAAGGCTCTCCCGCGCTTGGGACAACATCCATTGCGCCCAGCGCAGGCCAGGCAGAGACTTCAAGAAGTCTCCCACGCCCGGCGTACCTAACCTAGCGCTCAGCGCGGGGTAGGCAGAGACCACCCCTTGGTCTCGCGCCCAGCGTAATTCAAAATTGCGCCTAGCGCCCGCGAGGCTAAGACTTCCAAGGAGTCTCACGCCCAGCGCGACAAGGGCCGCGCTTAGCGCAGCCTCTAGAGCCCAACAACAAGTTACAATGGGTATCGCGCTTAGCGCAGTCCAAGTCGCGCCCAGCGAGGGCCAACCAGAGACCCACATTCTCAAGCGCGCCCAGCGCACTCATCAAGGCGCTCAGCGAGCTTGACTAAATGAGGTCCCCTGGCGGTCACGCGCTCAGCGGGATGAACAGCGCTCAGCGCGAAGCTCATCTGCAACCCTACCCAGTTCAAAAATTTCCCCAAACACCTGTAAAAATCACTTTCAAGTACATGCAATCCAGCCAAAGTATCACATTTCCATCCAAGAGTTCGAAAACGACATTTTTTCATACATGCATCCACAAATCAAATAAAAACCAAGAATTTTCTCAAAACCCCAAAATCCTCAAAACTCAATATTTCCCCCAAATCAGCCAAGAATCCGACAATCTTTAACAACCCAATGAGTTCTCAAACCCATTTCAACCAAAACGCAGCAAGAAAACTAACTTCCCTTACCTCGGGTGAAGAATCCGAGCTTCCGGGAAGAGAAACGGAATGAAGAGGAAGAGAGTTGGAGAAGAAGATGAAGGAAGAGGCTCCGCACAGCACGGTTCGACAAGAATTTCAACCTTCAATCAGCACCTTCAGTCACCAAAACCACAAGTTCAAAATGAGAGAAAGGAGAAGCGAGAGTAGTGAAGTATGAAAGTGGAAGTTTAGAGAGAAGGTGAGTTGGAGAAAAGTCAGTACGGGGGGTCTCACATCTAGACTACTTCATGACTTTTTAATTATTTTTTTTATATTATAATTTTAGAAATGTACATTGTGAAATTTCATAAGGTTTTCCTCGGGCGTGAAGTAGATAATGTCGCGATATTTAATTTTAAGAGCTTTTACACGAAAAATACTTTTTATTTATATATTTTTTAAGTAGAGAAATTCGCAGTAACTCTTTTAAATTGTATCAAAATAAGTTCTCAAAACTCTAAAAACATATGTCTACTCTAAACTGTATCTTTAAATATATTAGTTATTTTATAATAATAATAATAATAATCATAATAATAATAATTATTATATAAAAAGACATGTTTTACTTTGAATATGAAATATAAAATATAAAATATATCATAAATTATATATAAGCAAATATATACTACACATATATATATTAAATATTATATATGTATAATCCAGATCATGATTTGTGGATTCATAAAAGTATATACAGAATATGAATGTGAATCAGTAGTTACCAGAAGAGACATGGAATCCACGAGCTTGAAGCTCACGATACTCTTGGCAAATGGACAAGGAGACGCAGCAACAACTGACGACACAATCACAACATTGGTTCCCTTCAATCCCATACAACCTCCTTATTTTCGTACGATAAAGACACGCGTAGATCGACGCAACATTTGTGAAACCACCAAGGAGGCAGAAAAGGATCCCATGTACACAACAAGCTGCCATATATATATATATATATATACATTATTTTATGTCTTAAATATGCTTATTTCTCATATCTTAAATTAATTTACTTGATAATTTATATTTATTTGTAGTACTACTTTAAAGACAATAATCTAATTCATCAATAATTTTACTGCATTTTTTATTTTTGTATATGTAAAATCGAACTTTGTATCAAAAGAATTTAAAATACTTATACATTCTACTCAAGTAATTGAATTATAGTAATGATATAATCAGGGTTAGAGCCAAAGTTTTCATTTAAGGGAACTATTAAAAAGTTACACCAATTTTCTTTTTAAAAAGATTCATGTATACGACATGCATAATAATTTGAACATATAATCAATATTGAACATAAAATTGAAAAAAATGAAAGGAATGAAAATCTCATTTACATAAAATATTATACAACTTAGAGGTCATATGGAATTATATAATATTTTAGAGAAATAAATAAATAAATAAATAAATAATTGTATAATTATTTTAAAGCATGAGGTAGTCAACATTTTTGGGATATAGTTGGTTGAGCGACAGCGTGCACCCCCCGTTCCACCTGGTTGAGCACTTTCTCAATCTCAACCTCAACCTCAACCTCAACCTCAACCTGGTTTGCATTCCTTTTGCACTCAAAGTCCTTGGCAGTGTCATAAGAAGCATGCACCCCCACAAGAGCATAGTAAACCAAGAGAAACGCCGTCCACACCGCAAACCTAATATACGACTCCACGTCGATTGACCCAAGAAGGAGCACGTTTATCAAAATGGACAACGCCGGCAGCCACGGCACCAAAGGCACCCCCCACCGCTTCGGCTGCTTCGCCATCGGCACAAAAACGCAAAGACCTCCACTCCCCAACACCCACAACACCACACAAATCGCATACCCAACCCAACCATCAACCTCCTTCGCCCAAAGCCCAGAAATGCCGCACGAAGACCCCATGATCAGGACAAGGCACACTATCAGCCTCACTTGATTCCCCTTTGTCGTTACCCCACTCGAGTAGTAGCGCCGCACCAGAAGCGCCACCGCCACCAGCATGAAGATCAGCAGGGTGGAGATCGACAACAGGTTCGAGAGAACGCGGAAGTTGGTGAAGAAAGCGATGACCGCCGTCACCATGATCATTGCCACGGTGGCGTTCACAGGGGTACCGGTTTTCTCATCCACGTGCCCGAACCAAGGAGGCATCATGTGCGTGCGTGCAATGTGGGTTAGGTAGCGAGACTCACCCACGATAGTCACCAACAACACGGTCGTCATTCCCTTCAAGGCGCCAAGCGCCACGATGTACTTAGCCCAGTCCCACCCCACGGCGTGAAACGCCACGGAGAACGGCGCGTCCACGTCGATGTCCTTGTAGGACTGCACCAGGCAGAGCGTTAGCGAGAGGAGGCAGTAGATGATGGTGGTGATGGTCATCGACCCCACCAGGCCCACGGGAATGTCCCTGGCGGGGTTCTTCGTTTCCTCCGCCATGGTTGAGACGGCGTCGAAGCCCAAGTACGCGAAGAAGAGAACCGCGGAGGCCTTGATGACGCCGCGCGCGCCGTAGGGGGCGAAGGGGGTGAGGTTCTGGGGGTCGGCTTTGATGAAGCCGGCGATGACGATGAAGACCAGGATGAGGGAGTGGATGATGGTGGCCACGTTGTTGAAGACGGAGGAGGTTTTCGTGCTGAACATTGCCAGCATGGCTATGGCTATGAGAACCACCACGGCTATGGGGTCCAGATGGCTGTAGTCGGGGTCCATGTTGGGGATTATTATGCGAAACTCATCAGGCTGTTTGTTGCATAAGGTCGCAAAATATGAGGTCCATGACCGTGATATGGCGGCGCCGCCTATTACGTACTCAAGGAGGATGTTTCCGGCGGCTATGAAGGCCACCAAGTCTCCCAGTTCAACTCTTAAGTACGCAAATGACCCACCTGAAAAAATTCTCAAACAATAATTATCGGCAAAAATAAAATAGGACTCAACTATTTTGGCAGGATTAATTAGGGGGAAAACCTGCGACGGGAATTTCGACGGCGAATTCGGTGTAGCAGAAGACGGAGAGCAAGGCGGAGAGGCCGGAAACGATGAAAGAGAGGATGACGGCGGGGCCAGCGGCGTCGCGCGCCTCGAGGCCGGTGATGACGAAAATGCCGGAGCCGATGACGGCGCCGATGCCGAACCATATGAGGTCCCAAGAGTTGAGCGTCTTCTTCATCTCGTTGCTGCTCCGTCCCTTCAACGCCACTAGCTCGGTCTCGTCCTTGGATCGGGTCATGACCTGAGTCTTGAACCTCTTGGGTGTCTGCCACAACGCTTTCCCATAGCTACCCCAGCTCCTGAACGATTCCTCTGGGAAGAAATCGTCTCTTTCAAACGTGCACGCCCTTCTCCGCGCAACCCTGTTCCCACCTTCCGTTTCCATTTTGCTCCTCTCTATATACATCACAACCAACATCCATGTAATAACGTTAATTTCAACATAACCACAACCCTACCAATCTATTCCAACTTCTTACGTTCATTAGGTTTTGCCATGTTATTATATTATTATTTTTTCCTCTTATGTCAAGACATGCATGACGTTATTCTCCTGATACTTACTAACACGACACAAACTAAGTTTGAGAGAGGAATAAAGATGCACCTATGTAATAAAATTAAATTACTTACAGACAATTATGAAGAGGAAATTAACTTGTAAAATCTATCGGAACAAATTAAGGGAGTGAAGGTGGGAGAAAAGGTAAGAGATGACGGCGTGAGAGAGAGAGAGAGAGAGATAGAAAGAAAGTAATTCAAGAGTCAATAGTGCTTTGAATTATATATACAATAATAATATAAGTCACGATGAGTGTGTGCGTGTGCCTAATAAGGAATTGTCTACCTTTCGTTACTAAGATTGTGCATTTTCAGAGCTAAATTGATCTTTCGTGGTTGTATAAGCTAATTTAATTTTTTTCAGAGCTAAATCGATCTTTCGTGATTGTATTGTATAGGCTAATTTAATATTTTGTTGGTTTTATTTAATTTGGTTTCATTGATTTTTTATTAATTTGGTCCATTTTGATAGGCATGTATACCCTCATGTTGAAAGAGTAACTTGCTAGATTGAGCTAACTTTCCAGGCTATGTTTCTGTTGAATGCATGGTTATAGTACGTTAACCAGACGAAAAAAAGAAAACTAATTTTGTATTTAGGTTCAACGAAATTTAACTATATTTTTTTTTTCTTTTCTACTTTTAGTGTCTTTTATGTTGTTAAAGTTGGATCGGATCAAACGATCTATAACTGAGTTAACTGTGTATGATTATAAAAAAAAACGTTGAAAAATATAGATGAATAAATTTAAACGAGTTAATTAAGAAAAATTGATATGGAAAAAAATGATTGAATGAGAAAAGTAGTTATATATAAAAAAACTCAATTACATAACTTACATAGAAAAAAAAGGGGAAATATTGATTTTGACATCCCATGTGTTAATCTATACATGTTAAAATATTATTATAAAAATATATACTAATTAAAATACTAAATTACACTTTGATCTTTATATAATATTTAATTCGTGGTTTTTATATCTCAAAATTATTTAAAAAAATTTAGTCGTTCTATTTTGTATAATTCGTAATTGGTCCAATGATTAAATATTTAATTATATATTAATCAATTAAATTCTAACATTAATTATAATTTTTTAATTAAATAAATAACGTGATAATTAATTAATATTTATTATTTAATAATATTTATATTAAATTATATTTTTTATTCTTATTATCACCTATTTTCATATTTTTTAAATTATTTTTTATGAGGATAGAAAATTAAAAGTATAATTTAATTTAAATTAAATATTATTAAATTTATTTGTGAAGTTATTTACTTAATCTTCTAAATAATGGTTTAATGATAATAGATGAACATTTGTTAGTTTTATCAAAATTTTGGATTTTACATATTTGGAGACTAAAGTTGCGAGATTAAAATTGAAAAACTAAAATTGTAAATTAAATGTTGTATGGGGAAGGCCTTTCGGACATACCCCTCGGCATAAATGTAGTCGATCTCGATCGGCACCCTTAGTGGTCGAGCTGTATTCAACACCTTCGATGGCCAAAAACCTTCTAAGGACGTGCAACTTCCTTCGGTACCCTCGGTAGCCGAAACTCGTTCGACACCCTCGATAGTTAAAACCCGTTTGACACCTTTAATAGCCGATTAGGTGAAGAAGTTGGACTCCCCGTAAGTGGTTGTTAATTAGCCTTAATTAGTGGATAATAGCTAATCAACGAACATAGTCAATTACCAAGTGTATTACCTAATTTGGTAACCTTGGTACAAGGCTCCTTAATGTTAGTATAAATAGTTCATATCTCGAAGTAAAGTCACTGTTTATTTATTACTATCGATATTCATGTTTGTCATGACTTGAACGTCGGAGTATCTTTTGCAGGTACTTTCCCCAGTCGAAATATCAACTCAGAGCTCTCGATCGACCTTCAGATTACTAGAAGATTACGAGTGTATCATTTGACAGATACAAATGTTATCGAGAGAAAAATGTAATTTAGTCTAATTAATTATATAATGATTAAAAATTATTTTTATTATGATGTAAGTTAAGGGAGAAAAGTGTAAGAGAGGTGTATTGAATTATGATTTTAAAGGATTTTTTAAATTGAAAAAAGTCTTGTAGATTTTAAAAGACTTTACAGGACTTTACATGAGAATTTTAATAAATTTTATGAGACTTTTAAGTCAGGATTTTAATGGATTCTACTTTGTAGATTTTGCAGAATTTTTTGAATTTTTAACATACGATAAAAGTTTAAGATTTTTTTTTCATATATTCAAATTTAAAAAAAGTCAAAGATAAATTTTTAAAATTTTTAATTGATTTGAATTTTTAAAAATTTTAATTAAATTATAAGATACCATGATATCTTAATTATGTTAATTTCCTTTTAAAAATATATTAAAAAAAATTCTAATTTCACAATATAAAAATTAAAAAAATGAAATTCATAGTAAAAAAAAAAGAAATAAAATAATTGTTGAGTCATAAAAGGAGGAAGAATAATAGTAACATACTCAAGGGAAAAATAGAGATCGTTATTGATTTTCATCTCAATTTATTCACATAAATCCTAACTCAAATTCATCTTTTATATATATATATATATATATATATATTTTAAACGAATCTAAATTGATTAATATCTTAAAGATCTATGGTTGATTATAAAAATTATGATATCAATTTCAAATTTCAGCTTTCCTTTTTCTTGACACATGTTATAAAAAAATTATTACTTAAAAATTAAAATTTCAAACATTTTCTTTGTTATATATATATATAATTATTATTATAAAAATACATACTAATTAAAATACTAAATTACATTTTTGATGCTTCTATAACTTTAATTCTTGATTTTTATATCTCAAAATTATTTAAAAAAATTTAGTCATTTTATTTTGTAAAATTCATAATTGGTCCAATGATTAAATATTTAATTACATATTAGTTAATTAAATTGTAATATTAATTATAATTTTATTAATTAAATAAATAATGTGATAATTAATATTTATTATTTAATAATAGTTATATTAAATTTTATTTTTTGATACTTATTATCACCCATTTTTATATTTTTTTATTATTTTTATGAGGATAAAAAATTAAAAGTATAGTTTAATTTAAATATTATTAAATTTATTTGTGAAGTTATGTACTTAATCTTTCGAATAATGATTTAATAATAATAGATGAACATTTGTTAATTTTATCAAAATTGTGAATTTTACATATTTGGATACTAAAGTCACAAAATTAAAATTGAAAAACTTAAATTGTAAATTAAATATTATAGAGAGAAAAATGTAATTTAGTCTAATTAAAAATAATATAATGATTAGAAATTATTTTTACTATGATGTAAGTTCAAGGATAAAAGTGTAAGTGATTTTACATTTTAATATATAAAAGAAGAGTGGTATACTCTATACTTATATCTATATGGGTGATATTATAATTTACTTTAATTTTATAAGTTAAATAAATTAAATTATATATTTTTATATAAGAGGGTGAATAGTATAATACTAACTCTTATCTTTTAAAAGGAGAATAATGTAATTTAATCTTTTATTTCTTATTCTTTTCTATATAATAGTAATTCCATTAATTAATTACCGTATTTGATTTTGATTTATATATGGTATATAGAATCTTTGATTGTTGATATATATAAACATAAAAAAGAAACTCGATAAAATAAAAATAGAGAGAATATCCCGTTTACTAGTCATGATATCACTTTATTTAATTAATATAAATTAAAATATTTATTGGTTAATAATGCTATCAGAATATATATTTGTTGTATTCATTTTAGTTATTAAATTTAAAGATAATAATATGTTCTTATGAAAAAAAAATCAGATGAAATATAAATATAAAGAATTTCCGGTATATTAGTTGTAATATAATTACCTTGATTAGTTTAAATTAAATAATTAATATTTTTAATAATTAATATATACTACTTTTTGATAATCATATTTATTAAAAATATTTATCAATTTTGATACTGATTAGTCTCTTTATGAGAATTTGGATTATAGAATTTAGTAGAGCCTTCATTTTTAATTACGTTTTTTTTATTTATAAAACTCGAAAATGAGATATTGATTAATGAGATTAAATCCAGATTTACTTGTATCAATGACTTGTTGATATGATATTTATAATTTGAATATAATATTATTTTTATAAATTAAAAATGAGAAAATTTAAGAAAATAAATATGGTGATATTAAGTAATATATATTTTTTATAATATACAATATAATAGAATTTCCTATTATAAAATATTTCTAATTAAATTAATTAAAATAATAATAATATGATTTACAAGGATTCATTAATTAATTTGTATCTATATGTACGTATAATCTCCATGTATATCAATCAGGTGATGAGTATTATAATTTACACAACTTCACATGTTATTGTGAAAAAGTGGATGTTTGTACATTACATGCAAAAGAGATTATAATATTAAAGTTAGTGAATAATCATAATGATTAAGTATATCATGTATGCATTACATATCTTTTAAAAATGAATTATAAATATAAATAGATAAAATAAAATTATCGTTACAAATTCGACTAATGAAACATTATGATGTTAGTTTTTAATCAAGTTAATACATGATATTAGAGTGAGTATCCCTTGACCGATCGAACAGCCTTGGATCGTGGAGTACTCCTTCATTGTTCGGGTCACACTGCACAGTCACGAAACTCTAACGCTTCAGTGGACCTATCCGATACAATCCTTAAACTAATTTTTAAAACTCATTATATAATTAAATTAAATGATTGCACTATTATAAGCACACTGTTTGTCACCGTTTGACTTCATCCTGTCTCCTTCTGTCCTCCACGTGCGTGACATGTTCATTCGTCACTTCGTCTCCATCATCTGTAATTATCAAATAATTAATCACCCGCTTACTTCATTCCGTCTACGTATATTTTTTTAATTTCTACTAATTCATAAAAACCGGTTAAGCACATAGCATGTGTATTAATTATACAAAAAATCATCGATGAAACAACTAATGCTTCAAACACTAGCAACATATAACAAACAAACAAAAATATATTTAGACAGCAATCAAACACCTAACTAGTGAGAGAGAAAAAATATATAAAAATATAATAAATTATAGAAAAATGTTAAAAACACACTTTCTTTAATTGATTAAAATTTATTAGAAAATAAAAAAATTACATTACATCAAAAACTATTTTTAACAACTATTAATATGCTCTTTAATGATTATGTAAACAACCACTAAATTTTTTCCTAGCAATTAATTATTAGTCGTCATTGTATTCTGATCGATAAAAATCTTATTGACATTTATATTTAATGTGGTAAAGACCCCTTTAAATGGCCAAGAAAACTTAAAGTCTCTAGTGGCAATTTTTGACTATTTTAATTGTCACAAACACAATTAGTTGACCTTTATGAATTGTTAGAAGAAATTTTAAACAATGATTTTTAAAATTGTGATTATCGGTCTATACCTAATTAATATCCTAAAGATAAAATATATCTACGAGAAATATTAATATATTAAATAAATACAATATTAAAAATAGGTAAAATTTAATAAGACAAATGTATATAATGGAATTAAAAAAGAAAGTCTCATCCTTGATGACATATATATATCCTAGAAATATGTCAAAATTAAGTTTCAAAATAGAACAAAGCTTGGAAATAAGTAAAGTATCTTGCAGTATCTTTTAAAGCTATCATGTCTATACACTGCAATAAAACATTATTGCAAACACTTCACTACTATTGTAAGGAAATCACTTTTTTTTTAAGGTATTTTATTAGCCTTCAAATGAATTAAACATCATTTCAATGTTCAATAACTCAAGTCATAAAAAAACTCAACTTTAAATCTTCGTTGTGATTTAACTTTTCTTGATTGCTTCAACCTAAAGGGAGAAACTTTGAGAGACAATAATATTTCTTAATTTAATATAACTTGGAAACAATATTAAAATCGTCTTAAAAGTCTCCCTAAATCTATTTTCTTAGTTTAATATAACTTGTAATGTCATCAAATCATTCATCTTTGTAAAAGCACCACTTGCAAAACCAACAAAATTATGAATGGATGCAATAAAATTAAGCTGCTACGAGCCTAATATATAGAGCAAGAAAACAAAATGCTTGTGAATATTTGTGATAAGAAAGTGAAGCATAACCTTTTGAATAAATTTGATGAGTCTAGTTATCGTGGACACAAGTTTTTATCATGAAAAAAAAATGCCAAGTGATCTAGAGAAAGAAAACATACATTCAGTGAAAATAAAACAACAATAGAAGCAAATTAAAAAAAAGGAAAAGTAAAATAGAAAAGAATATGAAAGTTGATTCTTTATTTATAAACCTTAAGGAACCAACAATGTTTTAACTAAAAATTCTTCTAAAATACCAAAATATGGCTTATCAAGGATAAAATATTCATGTGATATCTCTGTTATACAAGTCAAATTCTATTAAGGAGAAATAAAAGAAGCAAATGATATATATATATA